TGGATTGATTATGTGATCTGTGATTGGTTTGTTTTGTGAAACCCGGGATTCTTGAGGGCTTCACACTCTGGTGGAATTTTGACTCTTCCCTTCTTCATCTCCTTCACTTCTCAATTCTTTTATACCTCTTTCTTATATTAATACCCTAAACTACTAATAATTTTATAGTCTGTCTAGTAGCAATTCATGAAGTTAAACATCTAATTCTTTTAGTCAAAGAACCCTGAATCCCTAGTTGTTAATTTCTTTCTTCTCCATGCTTATCTTCTAATTATTCTTAAATTCATGGTGTTGAGATTGATCTAATGAAACTAACATCTTCACTAGAATTGTGGTTCTTGTTTTCTTTTGTTGTTTATCAAGTAGATTTATCATAAATAAAATAATGTCTCTCTCATGCTTCATCAACATTGAATTCAATTTCCTCTCTATTTTTTTATTCATTATTGTTTCTGTATTCAATTCTCTCAACAAACCACAACTTGAACTCTTGTATCCAGTCTTTTTAATCTAGCCTAGTACAAGAAATTTAAACCATCAGCTCTCTCCTTCATTTTTCGCCACTTTGAGCTGTTCCAACAAAAATATTTTGTTTTCTGAAAATTTTCCCAAAAACTCCTCCTGGTTAATCGTTTCTAGTTACAACACACACCAAGATAATCAAGAGATGCACCTGAGCTGTTTGAGTATTGGTCTTGACTTCAACTGTGTCAGAAACTAACACTTGCAGGCCTACACTCATATGCTGAATGGTGTTTCTTAGTAAATACGGTCAACACCGGTGTTAGATTGCATGACATTTTGTTTGGCTCTCTGAGCCTATTCTTTTAGTTATATGTAGATTTTTACTGAATTGGGCCAGTCACAACTGAACTAATGGTCAAGGTGTCTTCAAAAGTTCAGTTGTGACAGGCCCAGTTCAGTAAATAAAAGTAAAAAAAAAAATCCGAGGCAAGTTGGACAAGCAATTTTGGAATAGCTGTAACTGTATGACATGAAAATCCAAATTTCCAAAAAAATTTCTTCCTTGTGAATTTTTCATATCATCCAGAGTGAACAGTTCCAAAAGCTTATAGCTTTTTTTATCCTCAAAGTGATTAAGAATTTCAACCAAAGATGATCTACCCATTTATTTTCAACTGATCTGGTGTAAAGCTACAGCTATTGTGTAAATGATTGCACTGATTTCTGAACTTTCTTTTTTTTTTTTCCTCGGGCGACATTTTTTTTCCTCCAATCCTTGAAGCCCTGAGCCCGCTGGGTAAATTTGCAGGAGATTACCCACCAATTATCATGACCAACTCAGCCCGAAAAAAAAATGTATAACTTTGGCTGATCGGGTGAAATCGGCTAGCTTAACTAAGCCTCTCCTTTGGTCAGGGCCGAGTGGCCGACCCTGCGTCCCGAAGGGACGCTCTCTGAAGGAGAGGCTTACGCCATAAGTCTCTCGCACGGCGTGAGGCTGGCAAATTTTTGCCAGGAAAATCCCCAAAATCGCAATGATCTCCATTTTTAAAAAAATTGTACGGACCAAATCGGACTTGGATCAGTCCAATGTGTAGCCTTTGATTTCAAGCTTCTCACCTTTTTTTTTATAATTTTTCATCCAGAACAGGCGGTTGTGCAATCAACCTTGTATTGCCATTCCCTCATCATTGCAATCATTCGTTCGGAGTATCCAAATGTTGTTCGGACAACACTCTCACACGGTTTTTCTACTATTCACTTATGAGCGAGCTCTTTCCGATAGAAATCTCTGGAAGATTCCCATAGACTGACATTTAGAAATGACTATGAGTTTAGACCGGATCCATATGGCTAGGTATCCGGTCTCTACCAGAGCGGATTCCCTGGACTCCTGAACGCTCTACATCACCATAGCATCCAGGGGAGAGCAGTGGATGGAGATGTGTTGTGATGGGCACTAGTAGAAAAAAGCAGTGATTCCAATGGTGCCATTGGCAAAAGTGGAATCACCAATGTTGAGGGTAAAATTGCTTGAAAAGGCCTTTTTCTGGAAAATGGCTGGGTGGCCTCAAGCCAAATTCAGCTCATTTGTCACAAGTCCCTCCCTGCGGGAGGGGGCGCTTCGCGCCCAGCAACAGTGTTACACAGCATCCTCCTACCAGGGAGGGACTTGTGTTAAGTTAGGAAATCGGGTTGGTGTGTGCTCCGCGGTACTTTGCACAGGCGGGGCCGGGCTTCAAGGATCGGGGCAAAAAAAAAGCTGCGCACGAGAAAAAAAAAAAAATCCCGTCGCGGTTTACAACCCTCCCAGAATACAATTTACAACCCCTACACACGCAGGGCACTTCACAAAAATCAGTGCATCCCAGGGATGCCATGGCATCTGAGATGTCCCTGGGATGGGATGCCGTCCCCAGGACGTCACACTTCACAAAAATTGGTGTGGCCCAGGGATGCCATTGTACCTGAGACGTCCCTGGGCCAGGACGATGTCCACAGGACATCATTGTCCACACCTGGAATCCCTGTCACGTCCCACTCAGTGCAGCCCAGGGATGTGGTGAGGCCTGAGAAGCTTGAGTGAGAGTGAAACCGCCTTTTGTGGATGAGACAAAGGAAGAGGAAGCCAGAAGTCCGGATGATGCATTTGCATGACTTCTGGCTATGGCCTGATTCCCCTTCAGCTCTGATGAATGGGCATCACCATCAGGCCAATGATCCGATTCCTTAGGTGATTTTGTTTCACCAATGATTGCAATGGGAAGTTGGGCCAGCACCAATCCTCATGTTCAGCGGTGCAGGCCGTTTTTTTTAATCATTGGTCTTGGAACGACCCAAGATCATTGGTCATTCCAAACCATGGGTGATTTTATTTCACCCATGGTTTCAATTCTGATCCTCCCTGGCCCACCAGGCAGAGACCCATGCAAGCGATTGGCTGCCTCTTCCTGGTGGAGAACAGAGGATCAGCGACAACCAACCCGATTGGGATTGGTCACGCAGTATAGTCTAACAAAGTCAAGGGAGGAGAGCGGACAAAGTCCTCTCTGTCCTTGAACCTCTCCATCCCTTCCCTTCCCCCATTCAAGACCTCAAGTGTGTCGTTTAACGACCTCCGTTCATCAGTGGCTTTTGTTGCTCATCGACCCACCATCATCATCGACTTGACGCTTGAACCCTTCTGTCTTTCATTGACTGCTTCCTTTTTCTACCCTCCAAACCCACATTCTGAATATAAAATTTTTCTTCTCAGTCATTGAATATCTCAAAAACAACCTACAACCTCGAAAAGGACGATTGCTGAAAAACTTTGACCAATCCTCCGCAATCCCTTTTGAGCGTGGACACCCAGACACTTCTCTAAGCTGGTTCAGTATTGCTCTACTTTTTATCTTTTTGGCCTTGGGCATGAATTTTGATCAGTTACTCTTTTCTTGCTTGCGTTTGGCCGAAGTAGTCCAGATAGTTCTTCAATTGACCCGGACAACTTCTCGAATCTGGCGAGGAATTGACAATAATACTAATCAAGCTGATTCTTGCAAGGCAGTGACAGGCTTTCGACCGACTTAGACAGACGCCACATCACCATTTTCCACATGTTGGTCGTAGTGACCTCAGACTCCGAGAGCAAGTATCAAGGCAGCGACCATTCCTCCTCGCTCGCACCGGACACGCCTGGCCCCCGCACGCAGGTGACGACACAGTTAGCCAATCGCAAAGCTCAGACTGGTCCCATCAGGCCGACGGTCCGCCGAACCCATGGGAACGGTGGCTGACTACCAGCTCGCCCGCAAAGGGGTGCTTCTACCACTTCGGCTGCCCCACTGGCCCGCGGCACCTCTCGACCAAGACCTGGTGAGGATGTTTGGTCTCTCCATTCTCGGTGTTCTCTGTGTACCTGATACTGACAGGTGTCGGTGTTTCTTTTTTAGCCAATCTCCCTGCGGTTCCGAGCAGAGCACGGACCGCCCCCTTGAGCACTCAATAAGCAACAGCCGTCAAACCGACTGGCAATGAGGCTGACCCCCAGGCGGGCCAACCGACTGGAAATGAGGCAGACCCCCAGGGATTGTGGCCCCCAGCTACAGTGCACCTGAATGTTGATGATGAGCCTATCAACGACGAGTTTGTCTTGGAGGTTGATGCCATCTTTCAGTTGGGTGGGTCATATGCTGACCTTGGTGAACAACTAGCCTATGTATTTACTGTACATAATCATCCTTCAGACACCATAGTACCTTAATTCTTCCCCCCAAAACCTAAAAATAACATAAAATACAAACAAATAAACCAAAAAAAAAAATACCCAAGTACCATTGCCAAGGCAATATGCCGTGGGGATGTATGGCCTCTTATTGTTCAGGCAAGCAATTGAAAGGATCCTTCACAATATTCTTATTGTGCCATGAGTATCCACAAGCTAGCTGGTGGATGTGCATAAGAAAAAATTTTATGCCAAAAAAATGGTGCAATGCTGTCTTGATGACGGCTCAGAGACACCACATTCAAAAATCCTGCAGATGTAAAATCTTTGAGGGGACAGCCCTGAAACACCTCCAGGACAGCAGTGGGATGCATTGGGGGGACGTCACGTGGATGCTCCACAAGGACATCCCATGGATGGCCTTTTATTTGTGGAGGAGCACGAGCCTGGGATGCTCTGATCTGTGGGGGATGCTGTCCTGGTGCCGTCCCCCGGGACCCTGCCACTGGGACGTCCAACTGCACTGGTGGTGTAGATCTTAATTTTTGGTATAAAAAATTATTTTTTCACAAGCCTTGTGAAGATAGCTCTCATGTGAGCTGGTTGGAATTATGATTGGGCTGTTAATTTAGGACTGGGGAGGGCTTAAAAAGCACTCTAAATGGCAACGGGAAGTCCTCCAATCATTGCACAATAGCTGTAATTAGAAGGCAGAAAAAATCACCATTTTTTCCAAAATTGAATCCCTGCAGTACAGTAGTACGGGCTCTTAATCATGAACAGCTTTATAAAGTGGGCTTTAAAATTTGATAAATTTCAATCATGGTGCCGGCAGTGCTCGAGGCGCGAGCTCGAAGCCGGATTTGATTTGTTTGTGATTTTGAAGTTGCAGATTTATAAAGGGCGCGGTGGAGTCCAGATTAGCAAGTCGCTGTTGTTGTTGGGTTGGACTGGGTTGCCCCCCTCATCCGACATCCGAAGTCTGGGGAGAACCAAACCACCACGACCCATCAAACAACTTTCTGAAGGAAATCCCAAAAAACCAAAAAAAAAAACCAAAACCAAAACCAAACAATCATGAACAGCAAACCCAGTCTAGTCCTACCCAACCTCAACCCAACAAACAACAACAACCAACCATCATCACCACCACCAACAACAACAACAACAACCTCATCATCAGCATCAGCATCATCATCACGACCTGCCTCAAAACGACCACCACTCACAATCGCATCAGTCTCATCCACCTCTCGAAACAGGAACCTCTCAGTCAGCAGTCAACTCAGCCACCATCGATCACAGCACTCCATCTCAAGCTCGATCGGACATGAACAACAGACTCACTCTCCATCCAGTACCACCAACCGATCGATCGTCGGAGCCAGCCTCTACCCAACCACCCTGCCATCCACCTTCGACGACGAGGATGGCAAACTCAACGACCACCAACAGATCATCCATGACATCCAGGCTGCCATGAACGGAATCAGCTCAACAACCCTCAACTCCATCAGCACTCCCTCAAATAACATTATCAGGGCTCGCTCCGGCAGCTCGGCCTCGATCATCAAACCGATCTCAGTCCGAAGACCAAGGACTGCTGAAAACCTCATCAACAACAACAAATCATCAAACTCATTGACCGTCCCATCCTCATCCACTCCAGATAACCAATCCCTACTATCCTCATCAACAACAACAAAAACAGCAGCAGCAACAACAACAGCAACAACAAATGGAACCAGTCATCATCCTACTGAAAATTCAAATCAGACGATTATCAATGATCAAGGAACCCAATCCTCTGAGCTTCACGATCAAGCCGAGACCGAGGAAGCGGCGTTTGATGAGATCGAATTCGAACCCAGCGACCTCGAGATCTTGAACTCGTTGGGCGAAGGGGCGGGAGGCGAAGTGAGGAAAGTGTTGCATCGACCATCGGGACTATACATGGCCAAGAAGGTAAATTTATCTGTTCTACTCGTCACTCTCAGTCGGCAGGGCCAATCCACAGCTTGCTGAAGACTTGCTGTCCTTCTTCTGCTTCTTAGACCATTCCAACCTCCCCAAATCCGTCGCTTCATCGACAGATCTTGAGAGAACTCGCGTTTAATAGAGAAGTCGCCGATGGCCAATCGCCGTCAATCGTCAAGTATTATGGCGCGTTTTTAGAAGAGGTTCGTCATCTTTTTTAAAAACATGAACCCTTCCAAACACACTAACAGTAATGGATTGACCCCAAACCAAATAACAAAAAAAAACCATGGAACAGAACAACACGCAAATAGCGATCTTAATGGAATACTGTGAGGGGGGATCCTTAGAAGCGATCTACAAGCGAATCAAGCAACGGAAGGGCCGGATCGGGGAGAAGATCCTGGGCAAAGTGGCCGAGTCGGTGCTTGGCGGGCTGAGCTATCTGCACACCCGACGGATCATCCATCGGGACATCAAGCCCTCCAACATCTTGGTCTCCAAGGAGGGCTTGATCAAGATCTGCGATCTGGGTGTCTCCGGGGAACTGATCGGCTCGATGGCGGGCACCTTTATGGGTACCTCTGCATACATGGCTGTCCGTCCTTCTTCTCTTTCTTAAAATGTTGATTTTCACTGATAATCAATGACGATTTGTAAACAGCCTGAACGAATCCGGGGGGAGACATACTCGATCACCTCGGACGTCTGGTCGCTAGGCCTGACCTTACTGGAACTAGCCATGAACCGATTCCCGTTGGTGAACATCAACGAGGACGGGGTGGCGGTCCCGTTGCAGCCGTTCGAGCTCCTCCAGACCGTCGTCACGTTCGAGATGCCTTCGATGAACGAAGAGGAAGGCATCGTCTGGACTAAAAGCTTGCAACATTTCATCAAGACTTGGTCCGTTTTTTTTTTCCTTCACCCCCCCCCTTTTTTTTTCGCCAGCGCGGATGGTCTCATACTGATTGGGTCTTTCTTCGTCTTCCGATTCCATCGTCTCTTCTCTAGTCTTGATAAAAATCCAAACCAGAGACCAGGACCTAAAGCGTTACTAGAACAACATCCATGGATCGCTAAGTCTAGAACCTGGACCCCTGATGTGAAGACCTGGTTGATCAAAGTTTGGGACTGGTGATTCCTCTCCATCTCCCTTTCTTTTCTTTTCTCACATTTTTTGTTTTTGTTTTTTGTTCTTTGTAAGGTTGGCTTCCTTTTTCTTTTTTGACTGGTCTGGGTTCACCCTACCTCCCTTTTTCTATGTGTATATATATAAATGTGTGTTCATACATGTATACTTGTTTTTTAAAGTGTTTCTAGAGTAATTCTTTTGAGTCCTTTTTTTCTCTCTCTCAATTTTTCTTTATGTAAATATATGTTGAACAAAAAAAAATGAAACTGTGGTTCTCACACTTTCATTGTCTCTTGGAGTTTGTTCATTTCATATAATCAGTTTTTGTTGGTTAGTTATGAGTGAGAGGTCCCAAGCTCCCTAACAAAAACAAATTATTGAAGATTTCTATAGGTGTATGTCCTGTTGGTTGTAATGCGGACAGGAAGAGGATCCTGCATATGGACAACTAGGCCTAAACCGACATTAAGCCATCTGGATAAGTATTTCTTTGTGACACGATTATCCCCGATTGAGGCAGTTATATAAGAGTGCTGTGATGCGGTTAACTACATTTCAACAACAACAACCAAAAACCTCTTTTACTACTGTGGGGTGTTGTTGGTGAGGAGGATAAGGAGGAGCAGTAAGGACGAGGACAATATTATACCTAAATAGATAGTGGAAAAGTTGTCTCAAAGAAGAAGAATAAATAATCCTACCACCCCTCTTCTCTCCAAAAAAAGGGGGATATCTGCTTGAAAGTGTCTAACCGAAGCAATGTTACAAAATCAAAGTTTAGAAAGACCAAGGATTAACCAAAAAACCCCAAAGAGTAAGACCATTTGGAATATAAAGACAGTCTAAAAGGGTTTTTTTTTTTGGGGGGGGGGGGGGGGAGGTTACACAAAAGAAGAGCATCACTGTTGATTGCAAGCTTCGGATTCGTTTTCGGAGACGAGTTTGTGATTGGGGGAGAGTACGGAAGAACGACGATGGAGGAGTCTGGCGGGATTAGAGGGAGGAGAAGAATTAGCGGCGGTAGGAGGGGTGGGAGAGAGGAGAAGATGGTCGGGGAGGGAGTGATCGATCCGAGCGGCGCAACGTTCGAGGGCGGCGATGCGGGGTTCGAAGCGGAGGATGAGGTCGCGGATGTGCTGGGCGAGCTTGTGGTGGGCATGGAGGAGACTGGTGTGGACGGTGGCATTGACGTCTTGTTGGATGAGTTGGACGGATTCGTGGAGGTTGGCGGGGATCTCCTTGGTCAGGATGGTCTGGATGCTGGACGTTAACTCGTTCACCCGAGCGTCCATCCGGTCCAGCTCGGCTCGAAGATGCTCCACCCGCTGCTCCGGGCTTGCTGCAACAGACTCAGCGTCCCCAGTCGAGCCGATCGCTCCGTTCTTCTCGGGACTGCCATCATTGCTCGTCGGCCTCGGGTGGGTGGGTCGATCGGATGGCCCAGGTATGCTCTTGCGGATCTCCTGGATCGCCTCTTTCTGGAGCCCGATCTGCCGTTGAAGCACGTCGATGGCCACCTGATGCTCGCAATCGATCCGCTCGATCTCGTGCGAATGCTTGCCGATTCTCTTGTGCAGGACCTTGATATCGTTGGCCAAGACGACGATCGAGTCTTTCACCGATTCGGCTGGGGGCTGCTGCTGATGGATGGAGTTCCCGACTTGAGGATTCCCGAGCCGCTCAGGTTGTCCCAGAGACGATGGATCTTCGTGTTGATGATGATGAGGATGATGACTGTAACTATTAACTGAGAATTGGACGAATTTTTGCCGCAAGTCTTGGGCGATCCCCAGGGCGAGTTCTTCGATCAACTTGACCGACTCGTCGCGTGCGGTCCTTCGGCGGAGCTGTTCGGCCTGCAAGGTCGAGTTACTAGGATCTTGGCTGAGCAGTTCCGTGTTCCGGGCGAGCAGCTTGTCCGACGCCTTGAGGTCCACGCCATGCCGGGTACCTTCGACGAGCAAACGTCTGCAAGAAATACAAAACCACAGGGGGGGGTGTCAATCACATGCAGGGAAATTGTGCTATAAGGGTGCAGGAGGTTCTGGTTATGTATGAATACATAGATGGACGGGTGGGGACCCACTCGATGGCCGATTGGACGGTCGAGCAGAATGTGCTTCCGAAGAGATCCGATGGCAACCGATGTTCTGCTTCTGCGTTCATCTCGGCTCCAGTCTTATGTATAACGCGCGCTCGTCCGAGGATGATGATGATGATGTAAAAGGATGTCTCGACCAGCCTTCTCGAGCGCTCCGTCTCCACGCTGCCTGGTTCACTATATCTGCGCCAGTGGGATCCGGAAGATCGGTGTTGTGGTTCAGGTTTATTTTGATGGGCTGGCTTTGGAGTGTGGGTGACTCGGCCAACTCATGGAAGGAATGCCCTGAAGAAACTGGCAATTAATATGTACTCAATCTGCTTCATTCACTTCAAACATCTACATACCACCCTCATACATCATCATACCCCATCAGCTCATACATACATCTGTCTCACCGGCAAATAGATAGCTGAGAGAACAACATATGAAAGCATATGAACATGATCAAGAAAGAAAGAGATCTGCAAGGGAATTGAGTGGGAGATAAACAAGTCAGTGGTTGCACCTGCAAAGGGAATAGTTGGATAACATTTCATATAACCCAACAGCAATATATGTGGCTTATGAGTGAGGGGAGCTGCTCAAGCTGGGTCAAGATTGATTGAAAGTTTCTATATTAGGAAAAATTTCTGGGGTTCACAATTGATCAGCTTTTTTAGCATCTGATTCTGAGTTTCTGTTCTGATCACTAAAAAAATCTACAAAACTACAATATAGCAAACTCAGCAACACTGGCTGAACAAGCCACCTTTGCCCTTGCTATACAACAGGTTGTCAAGAATGCTTGTTTGATCTAGCCAACCAAGTCTCGGCCATATTAGGCTTGATCATCTGTTCTATCAAATTTACCAGTTGTGTAAGCAGGCCTGTTTATAAGCACTTTATACTGCAGCTACATAATACCTCAACAAACACAATCCTGCTCAACTCAGCCCAGACTGCAAATTGGGGAACCCATACTGACACAATATAGGGCCCAATTGCAAACCCACATAACTTTTTTTGTATTCTTGGGCTTTTTATCTATTCAAAAACCATTCAAAATTGGAAACAAAATCAATATGAAATCAGAAAAAAAAAGTCAGAATATTGTTTCAAAAATTCACACCCTGCAACAGGGGTTGTAACCTGCCCCAATGGTAAGGTTTCCTTCCCAGAGGTGACCAATGTAAGATTGGTCTCCTTGACCACTTTTAAATGGGTTGGGCCCACCTGTAAAGTGGGTGGACTGTTATTAATATTTTGGGCTGCTTTTTTTTGGATCCCAGAGCTTCAAAGCACCAGATTGAAGTGATGAGACTTGGTCAAGTGGTGCAGAATAGGTCCCAAAGAATGAATATGAAAAAAAAAAAAAGGTTTCAAAATTTGTGAAAAATAAAAAATGAAATTGATTTTTTTTCCAAAAGCTTTGATATTCATTTTGGGGAAGTGGGAGTGCTGAGAGAAAGAAAGAGTGGAACATAACAAGAATGATTATGAATGAAAAAAAAAAAATGGAACCAAAAAATGTTGAGCCAGGTTGGTTGTTCAGATAGGAGTCAAAACAGTAAATTCTAGTGCTTTACTGCAATCACAATGTGAGCTGGTGCATGCCCCACTTGAAAACTGGTTAAAACTATCTGGTAACCTGCACTTTTTCCAAAAAAAAATATTCATAATCATTCTTACCATTTCCCATTTTTTCTTTCTCTCTGCACTCACATCACATCACATCACATCACATTGGTTCACCGTTGGTTTCAACCACACAGGGATGTAAGGACGTAAACATGTTGGTATGAGGGTTTTGAGATTCCAACCATCTCTGGAGGAGGTTTGAAAGGTTTTGGGCTTGGTTTTCAAACCAAAAAAAAATCAAAATCAAAATACAGTTGCAACACTTTTTGTTGATGAAAAATCTTAACTGAGAATGTATTTCTCAATTAATTGAAATGCAGAACAAAGAAATACAAGGGAAACAACAAAAGATGAAAGAATCCTAACCTCAAGGCAAAACACAGGAATCTAAGTGAATTTGAAACCCTTAAGACTCACCACTCTCACAAAACAAAACCAATAACAGCATACATATGGTGTATCAAGCCACGCTGGGCACATGCCCCATCACTATGAAGTTGAAAGACATCTGATCTGAAGAAACATGTCTAATCTCTCCTGCTGATGAAGTATGGTAGTAGTGAAAAGCTGAACTTTGGGAGCTCACCACTGGCAGGCCAGACAGAGCCTCAATGATCTGATGGTGGTTGAAAATAATTTGGATCTTGTGTGTAGAGAAACAGTTATGTACAAGCTTTTGGCTTGAGTGAATCTTGTTGTGCTGAGATATGTGTATTACCACAGACAACTGGTCGGGACGGATACCGCGGTTCCAGGGGTGTGGCGACGGTGTTTGAATTTACACCACTCTTGAGTCTTCGCTCTCACTCTCCTTGAAGACTGAAGTTGGTGTTGATATTCCCGATCGATCGATTCCGTCATCCATCAGCTCAACCTCTGCTGACTGGGCTCGAGTGGCCCATTGCCGAACCTGAACGACGAAATCAATAAATAAAAAATCGACCAAAGTTCAGCAGATTAAAATGCTGTTGACCATCCCAGCCGAACTGGGTCGACTACTCATCATCCCCACCCTCCTACTCATCTCAACATTCTCTTCATCCATCTCATCCGATTCGATCATCGAAAACTCAGATCCAACCTTCCAAGCCCTCCAGCAAGCTACCAACCAATCACTACTATGGGGCACCTACCGACCAAACCTTTACTTCGGTCTCAGGCCCCGTCAACCTCATTCGTTAATGACCGGAATGCTCTGGTTCGGGACTCAGGACTTCCAAAGCTTTGCTCGCAAGTGCCACCAATTTTGATATTTTCTTATTGAAATTCAAATAGAAACTAACCGAAATAAACACTTTATCTATCCTTCTCAGGTACCCGGCATTCGTGTGAGCAATCTGATGAACTTAACGGCTATGGCTTTGATAAACACGACGGAAGAAACTTTGCGTCCCACTACCTGAAGGATCAGCTGAATAACGTCGAACTGAGAGTGCAAATGCTCAAAGTACCCGGTGGCCAATACGGTTCGTGAAGGAAATATTCAATGATTCATACTCCCAGATGTCCAAATTGGCTTCAAATTGCCGGCTGACGTCTTTCAAAATTATTTGGCTTGATTCTATGCAAATCTCCAGGTGGATCCTGGGCCCTTAGGATTAATGGAAAGAAATTGGATGAAGGTACATACCACTATTGTTTTCATCAACAATTCAGCTTCTTCCTAATCAATATGGTTATGTTAAGCTCGGGATTCGAAAATCAGCCTGGTCAACTACTTCGGACTAGACGGATTGGGCTCATTCCAAATAGAGAATGAAGAGGATGAAGAGGTCATTGTCTTTTCTTCTTCTATCTCCTATGCGGCCGAAGATTAAACAACCACTGAGTCGTGTTCCCTGTTTTCAACCACTCATCATCAATAGGGAATTGACGGTGAAGTCAAGATCTCTGGGTCTACCACTCAGTTGGGAGACTTCACAATTCGCATTAAAGATAGTCAGTACTCAAGCCCTATATCAAAAGACACCAAAAAAATCATCATATCTTGACCCTTTGTTTCAAATTCCAAACAAAGGTCCTACAAACAAACCAGCCGTCGCTTATCGTCATACGGAAGACTTTGGCGAAAAATTGTCAAGGACACAGTACTTAGGCGTTCAACTTCCTGCTGGGTCCATTTGGAAAGCCAAAGGTGAGGGATTTTGCCATTCACGTGCCTCTTTAATCGTCCCAGCTTGATGATCCACCAGTAGTAAATGGGCGAATTGTATCTGGATATTCACCCTTCAAATCTCCAAACAGATTCGATCGTCTCCGCCATCAATGAATTTGTTCACCCTATGATCGAGAAATACACCGTACAAGACATGCCAGACCCATGTCTTGTACTGACTTTACCCAACGAAATCAGCTACGGAAGCAACCTATACGCACTCCAAAGGTCGTATGAGGCGCCATTTGAGTTGGATATCTATTTTGACGGCGACAGTGCACCTCGAATCGATTCGGCAGCTTTATCGGCTGGGTTGCTGGCCGCCTCCACTGCATTTGATCAACAGTTCAAGCTCACGTTTCCCAAGATTGTCTCTGATTACTCGGCCGAGGAACAATCTATGGCCATGGAAATGGTTTCGAGTATGATTGGTGGAATTGGGTACTTCTACGGGTCATCAATCGTTGACCGTAACTTTGCTCACGACTACGACGATGATGGGCTTTTATTGACTGGGAATTCCGAAGATGATGATGGAGGGAATGATCGCAAGCGCCAGCCTCAGCTAACAGAGGATCGTGAGCTATTTACGGCCACTCCTAGTCGCTCGTTTTTTCCCAGGGGGTTCTATTGGGACGAAGGCTTCCACTTGGCCTTGATTGGGGCCTGGGATAATGACTTGAGGTGAGAAAGAAAGCCCACATAAGTAGCGTTGTGAAGCATCTCAACAGTCTAACTTTCGACAACTCTAATTTTCATCACATTCTTGTAGCTTGGAGATTCTCCAAAGTTGGATTAAGTTGATTGATCGGGATGGTTGGGTCGGTCGAGAACAGATTTTGGGAGAAGAGGCTCGAAGCAAAGTTCCGTCGGAATTTCAAGTTCAGTATTCCAACCATGCCAATCCACCCACGTTGACGATGGCAGTAACCTCATACCTCAAGCGGCTCAAACGTTTCCAAGGGGCTGATGGGTTCAAAGACACACTGTCAGATGCCGACTTGGGATTGGGTAGCGGCCAGCATATCTTCAAGACAACAGGCCGAGAGGGCGGAAGGATTTCTGACAAACTTCTCGAGGATGTTGGACTGGCGAGATCCTTCCTAGTCTCGATATACCCCAAATTGAAGCTTCACTACGAATGGTTCCGGGAGACTCAAGTCGGTCAGATCCGAGAGTGGGGTCGAGAATCAAGCAGCAAGACCGAAGGCTATCGATGGAGAGGGCGGACCGCTGAACATGTATTAACTTCAGGGATTGACGATTATCCTAGAGGGTTGCCCCATGTAGGAGAGTTGCATCTCGATCTATTATGCTGGGTCGGCTTTTTCACTCGAACGATGAAGTCGATCGCTGAATTTATTGGGGAGAATGACGATGTTTTGGAGTATGAGAAAAACTATGAGGCTATTGTTAGTAATATTGACGGTACGTATCATTCAGTCACACATCTATTGTTGTAACAAAAACTAATCCGCTTGAGGTCTCGATGTAATATCAGATTTGCATTGGAACGAGGATAAAAAAATGCATTGCGATGTCAGTGTAGACGCAAATGGTGAGTCCCATTCCATGCAGTAAATGTAATTAATAAGGGGTTTTATAATACGATCTCATCTTGTATCATTTACCTTTGCATTGAACCGTACGTAGACGAATCATACTTTGTTTGCCACAAAGGCTACATCTCGATCTTCCCATTCCTGTTAGGACTTGTCCCACACGATTCCCCCAAACTGAAGTACATCTTGGACGATATCCGGGATCCAAATGGGATCTGGTCCGACTTCGGGATCAGAAGCTTGGCCAAATCGGATGAGTTCTTCGGCAAGAATGAGAATTATTGGAGAGGTCCGATTTGGATTCCAATGAATTATATGGCTCTAAATTCTTTGTATACTGTTAGTAACTCTCTCCTTGTGTTTGCCATCAGGAGGAATTCTTCTTACTTGAAACTGGATTGCCTATGGGTAATTATTCTAGTGTGTTTGAAGCTGAACTGAAAACTGGGGATTTTTTTATATTTGCAGATTTATGCCAAGGAAAGTGGGCCATATCAGACTCAAGCAGCTGAGTTATACGAGCAACTGAAGACGAATGTGATTAAGAACGTGTTCAAAGTGAGTGGCTTGTGGGCAGCTCAAACTCAGACTTTCAAGGTATTAGTCGTCTGGAACATGACTGACAGAGCAAATGTGATAAAAAATATTTTTTTTTGATGATTGGTAACCCTTTCAAAGGAATGGAAACGGACTGGTTTTACCTGGGAACAATACGATCCCATCAATGGTGAGGGAAAACGATCTAAACCTTTTACGGGGTGGACTAGCTTAGTGGCTATGATCATGGCCGAGGAATATGACATGTAAGCTGTTTCTCTTTTCTTCCATCTCGTTTCCGAATGCAAACTGAATCGATCTGTTGTTTTTGTTCTCACCCTTGGTGATATTCCATTGGAACATTTCACTCCTTTCTCATCCACTCTTCCTTTCTTGGTTTGTCTTGGATACCTCAATTGATTGTTGTTTAATCAGGTGAACAGAAGAAAAATAGAGAAATTGTAGAGAAAAACAAACACTACCTCTTGCTGTAATTGATTGATGATTGGTGTACATAATAGGAAGTTCAGTCACTCTTAAGCAGTTTACTTTGTTTTGTTTGTTTGTTTTGCTTTATAGAATCATCCCAGCAAACATATATGTTATGTCTATACATGACTAAATAGTTTTCACACAAGACATCTCTGGATCATTTGGATCAAGGTCTGAGATACATAGCTGGATGGAATTGATTGTAATCAGGAGTATGCTTACCATTGTTGTTTTATAAAAAAAACACTTATAAAACTCTTAAGGAATTTTGGAGAACTTCTGGTCCAAACTTGCATTGTAGAAGCCAATTGACTAGAGCATAAACTGCCAAAAATTAGTGCAACTAAAATATACATTTCATCATCAGGATTTTTGCAAAATTGGGATTACAATTTCAGCTTTTTGACCCCTTTCTTCAAGAATTGCTGGGAAGTCTTATGTTGAAGACAATCAAGAAAACCAAAGGAAATTTTGATGTCACGTACTGCAGAGGAAAAATACAAAGGGAAACCCCAGTTCTGGATCAATTCAAGAGCAAAAAACAGGAGGTGAAAACCAGTGAAGCCAGTCTACTAATTCTGTGGTGCTTAACCATACACATATGTACTCCTTGGTTTCATAGCAATTGGTGTGACCCCATGATCTACACTCAAATCCATCTTGATGTCCTCACATGAATCACTGCTGTTGGGTCCACAAATTGAGCTCTTTAGAGCTTCAGTTAGCTTTTGGCCCAAGCATCTCCCCTCTGCTCAGGAAACTTCCTCTTTGTGTGAGTTTCTTATAATTCGGTTGGTTGGAAAAGTAATCAATATTGCTTATATGTAAAATAGTAACTCCAACAATTTCTGGCTATCACTGCAGAAGTGGAATCATCTCCTTGATTTGATCAATCAATTAAAAGTGACATATTTGATTATATTATATATGTTCATTCATGCTATTACTTACAGACTCATCACGTAAATGACGATTGACTCCTCAGCAGAGTTCCCTGATGTAAATTGAGCACACCTGCTTGCACTCCAACCTACAGGAAATGATTTTAATCTATTTTCATCAATGATTAATAATGGAAATTGATGTTGGCAATTTATTGTGGGGGATGTTACAAATTGTAAGTTGGGATATCACAACATATAGAAAACCCTATTTGATGGATAAAAAGTTGAGGATCAATTTGTAGAATCTTCTTCGATCATTCGGGCCACTTTGCAGCCTTTCAAAAGGGCCTGTTGAAGGGAAGCAGGAAAGACGAGGAAGCCGTCCAAGGGAGTGTAGATTCTGAGTGCTGGATTCGGCTCGTAGGTGTCTGGGACAGGTAACCCTGTGGTGGATTGTGCCAGGAAAGAGAAGATGATCGATGCGGGGTCGCGATCGTTTATGTGTTGACTCTTCGTCCGAGTACCTGTAAGTCTCAATGTTGATCTCAGTATATTTGAAGATCATGATGGGCGATTGTGCAAACAGCACTCGGAGTAGCCGAGACCGGTTATGCGAAAACTGACCAAGCACGTGCAAGTAGCTGTCCGCAGAGGCTGACTTCCTCGAGAGTGCCAAGTCGCGTACATAGGGGTCGTCCAAGTAAACGCCACAAAACACGGAATGTAGCAGGTCGACGAAGGATGGATTTCCCTGAAACCTGCCTTGAGCAGACAGGGTTCCGATCACTGTGGGCGAGCCTGGAAAGACTGGCGGAGTATCAAGAAAGGAAAGCTGGCCGGAAGGTTGATGATGGTAGAGGGGTGTGGAGCCGTTGTAACCAGCGAGTTGTTGAGCGGACCGAGACGCCGTGCTGGTCATAAACGATCGATTGGCTGCTTGATAAATTCTTGAGGCAGCCCCCCTGGGTGCATGCCTGACGATCGTTAGGCTCATCATCGGTTGTTGACAAGCCAGAACCGGCATCCTATCCTTCTTGATCTTCAGTTCACCCGCTCCAGGCTTTCTCCATTCGCCCGACGATCGGGGGAGGCCGGGGAATGATGATCAGCCGTACCTTTGAAAAAGTGCGCGCCAACAAAAAAAAAAAAAAAAAAAAAAAAAACGGGCGCCTATCATACAAGCCCCCAGGGATGCGCGCAGGACTCCAGCTGGCCCCTATTTTGTGGGGCTCGAGCCATTGTTTTGGCTATTTCGACATCTTCTGACCAACATCCTCAAGCCGCCCAAAGAAATTAAGCACAAACTTTTTGGGTTTTTTTTTCTATATTCTTAGAGCATCTCCACCGCGGGTGGGAAATCCGGGTTGTAAGCCCCGTTTACCACCCCAACTTTCAAAACACCTCCCCACTGTGGGCGGTATACATACGGGGTGGTAAGCAACATCTCAGGTCCAAAAAATGTATTGAGGTTGTAGGTCTACCACTCGTGTACCACCCCAGGTACCTCTCACACATGTGTGAAACCACCGATCCCGCTTGTGAAACCTCAATATGTGCAACCGTTTCACAAGCCAATACCCCTTGCTCATCCAATCCTCAGCGCAGGTTTACAACTTTGCGGTGGCGCACCTGCCTGATCTCAGGTGGCAATTCTGGAATGCGGGTGGTAAATCCGACATTTACCACCCCAGATTTACCACCCGCGGTGGAGATGCTCTTAGTGACGTTTATTTGAGCAGGAACCAATTATGTTCAATTCTGTTATGTTGCTGGAGGATCATGTACAAAGCCAAGCAAACAAACTTGGATCTGCCATCTGCTGTCATGATTACTGTTTGGCTATGGGTACCCAGCAGAGAGATGTACCCCCTTGAGTAGAGTTTGTTATTTTTAGGTGTGCGTAGCAATCATTGATTTTCAGGAACCATTTTCTTGGTTTTGCAGTGAAATTACCTGGATGAGAGACATTCCTCTATGTATGTTAGAGATTGTTTGGGTACCCGCACCCACCTCGCACCCGCCAGGCGGTGCCGGGGGCCGTTTTTTTGGCAAAGAAAGGGGCGGTACCCGGAGGGGCGGTACCCGGGTACCGCCCCCATATTGGGTCTGACCGGAAGGGTTTCCTTCTGGTCAACAAGGATGTACCTTGTTGATTGGAAGGAAACCCTTCTGCTCAAGGAGGTACATCTACCTCTTTGACCAGAAGAGTTTCCTTCCGGTCAAAGAGGATGTACCTTTTTGATTGGAAGGAAACCCTTCCAATCAGGGAGGTACATCTATGATCTACCTCTTTGATTGGAAGGGTTTCCTTCCAATCAACAAGGTACGTCCTCTCTGACCAGAGGGAAACCCTTCTGGTCAATGAGACAATGTGCCTCGTTGATCAGAAGGGTTTCCTTGTAAATCCTACAAAAATTTCATCATCAAAGGATTGATTCTTCTATTTTTGATGAGAAAGAAAGCCAAACAAAAAAATGAAAACAAACCAATTTTCCAACATTGAAAACACCTTTCTCAATAGATCAAAAAGAAAAAAGTCTCACATTTTGTGCTGAAAATTTATGACAACTAGCAAGTGAAGTCATATTATTTGGCTAGCTTAACATAATCCCCTCAACCAGAGGGCCGGGGTACCTCTCAAAGCAAACCTCTGAAAGAGGGGCTTATGAGTCAACTCAAAATCTTAGCCTGGAAGCAGGTACTTTTTGTGGCTTTTCTGGGATCTTTTGCACACAACAGCCCATTACTCCCAGCCCATCCAATTAAATGATCAGCAGTCAAGTTTGTCACATAAGTGAGCATATCACTTTGGTGTCCATTTTTTTTGAAATATTTGCGATGAACACCTATCCATCCTTTGGATAGAAAGTGGGACTTGATTCCAGCTGAAACCCGCCTTATTGCATATATGGTGGTACAACACATAGTATGAGTTAGCCTGTGATCCCCCGATTCATTCTGTACAGGAATCATGGGTGCCTCATCCTGCCACACCGGTAATGCTCAGTGATAGACACAGGTAGTTATGTCTCATGTGCAGAGTTTCTATTAACAGTTTAGGTTTAAGCAAACTGCTTATGCGCTAAATACACAACTCATCTTATAGTCCATTCCTCCTCTCAGGTAT